CTAAGTACTAATTAAAAAAAAACTTAAAGAAACAATAAAATTAAGTTGATTAATAGTAACTTATCTTACGTTTAATGTCCAAAATTGTTTTCTTTTTTAAGAAAAGGAGGAAAACACCTGTGACCTTCCTTTACTCACAAACTGAAATAATACTACATTATAGATTAATTTCACGGTTAAGAACATTTTTATCCTAAAAATATTATGATTATAAACAATATACAGATAATATATATATATATATATATTTGAAACGTTAGAAATCAAATCAAATAATGTTACATAATTCATAAAATATTGAAAGAAATTTTAAATTAATTTATCAATATTAGTAAAATATATTAACATAGATGAAATTTTAATACTTTAAGAATTATTGATGTAATTTCATTACTCTAAAACTATTCGGGAGAAGAAAATACATGATGAATCATATTAACAGTTTATTAAAAGGATAAAAGTGATGTGAGTTTTTTTTTTTGTTTTTTCAAGACACATTGAATCGTGTTGGCGACTGAAAATTTGAAGCGGTCAAAAGGCGTATAGATTTGTGGTACGTTCCAACTCGGAAGCAAGAGGTGACAGAAGGCGTTTGATATGATTTATGAATAAGAAAAGCAAAAGAAGGGAACTAAAACAAGACCATGCACGAAGGCAGTGGATGAATCATCAGGCAACCCCAACAGCAAAATTGCTGCTAAAGGAATAGCTGAACCAGCGCTAATTTGTGACAATATTATTCTCCCAGAGTTGGGTAACCTTTGTGATAAAAAATCTCCCATCCACCCTCCAAAAAGAGACCCAAATGAAGCAGCAACTATAAATAGGGTCCAAAGAGTTGCTGTTGTGACGTGGGAGAAGCCTATTAGTTCCAACCAAAGCGTGGCAAATGACAAGCCTGACCAGGGGAATGATCCAAACACTCCCTGAGCCACAATTATCTGAAACGTTGGGATTCCAATAACTGACTTTGCTTCTTTCAGTAATTCTTTCATTTCAGAATAAAAGGACTTGTTTGGAGCTTGAGATGTTGGTTTCTTTGAATAGTGTGGATCATTAGCGAAGAGGCGTACCAATAGACCCACTATAACACTGATCAATGCAACAAGATGGAAAGCTATTCTCCAACCAGGTATACCTGCAACCGAGGTTGAGGCTATAAGTACAGAGAAGAGACCACCGACGATGCTTCCAAGGTTTCCTGTTAGTTGCAGCCAACCAAAAGCCACACCACGGTTGTTATCAACAGTTGAGTCAGCAACCAGGGACTGAATTGCTGGAATAACAATGGCGAGTCCTATCCCATTTAAACCTCTTGAAATTGCTACCTGATAATCCATATTATGCAACACGAAGGACGGAAGGAGTAAGGAAACATGTACATTGATTCAGGGAAAACATGGGCCATGAAAACACGTAGGAGTAATAATTCATACAAAATTGTAATTTTTAATTTTAAGCAAATGATCTTTATGTTATATTTGATAAGTGTTTAACTAGTCCGATGAAATCTGAATTTTAGACACTTATCTAGCACAATTTTTGTACATATTGATATAATTTTGGTTAATATATGCTTAGAATTAAAGAGGGACTTTTAATTTATGTTGTTACATGGAGTGATGACTTTTCTGACCAGATTTTGTATTCATTTTATAGGTTTTGAAGTCTGGAGGCAAACGGCTCAGCCCTTCAAAAGGGCTGAGCGCTTTCAAGCCAGAAAGCCCTTTAAAAGTGCACCAAACTGGAGGCACTCAGCTACTCCAAGGCGCTGAGCGGTTTTGGCCCTGGAAGGAGTGCTCTCTGCCTCCTAGGCACTCAGCGGATCTGAAGCGCCTAGCCCCTTGTGCTTGCTTAATAGTGAAGAATCATCTCAGGCGCTCAACGGATTTGAGGGACTCAGCCCTTCAGATTATTTCATGTTGAAGAATTCTTCAAACCGTTCAGTCGTTTTAAGGCGTTGAACAGATTCTTCTCTTTCCTGCCTACTCTATTTTAATTCTAGCACTTATAAAAAGGCAGAGGAGAGAGAAAAATAGCATCACAAGTTGCACGAAGAGAAGAACAGAGAGAAAAAAGGAAACAAAGCATTTTGGAGCTCGTGGGGACGCGATTCTTCAGAGGATCTCTTTCTTCTACCTTTCTTCTTGTTGTTTTGTGATTTCTTGTACCATGGAGAGCTAAAGCTTTAGGGTTGGGATTGATGTAATCATCGAACTCCTTTGTATTCCTCTTTGATTCATATATATATCTCATCTATTACTCAATGTCAGTGATTTGTTTCTGTTCTTAATGCTTTGATGAAATGATCATTTATCTTTGATTTTGGATTTAGAATTTGGTTGGAAAATATTTTCTGAATCTAGACTTGGAACGAATCGCCTATTAGTTTCAAAGGTCAGGAATGATTATGTCTTTTTTTATGAGGCTACTTGTCAAGTTGTGTGGCTTAAAATTTTGATTTCTGGCTTTCATATTGTTGAAAGTATTTCTAGGCCACTTGTGATATATTGCGACAATACTGCTGCTATGCATTTCTCTCAAAACAACAGAAGTTCTATTAGCTCAAAGCATTTTGATATAAAATTTATGTTTGTTAGAGAGAAGGTTTTGGATTTTCATACTCGAATTGAGCATATTGCTGCAGAAAATATGTTAGCAGATCCACTAACTAAAGACTTAGCTATTTGAGTTTTTCAAAATCATATGTAACTCATATGGGTGTGGTTAAGTTTTTTGATGTATTGGGTTAGTGGGAGTCTGAAAATTACATTTTTTATTATTATGGTTTTCATGAGATGTAAATTTATCAATGATGTCATTTTCATTACATCTCTTTTAGCATATAAAATTGCTTGGACCATTTTTGGGATCACATATATTATTATGTTTTTATTATCCATTATTTATGAAATATAAGCATAAGGTATGTATCCCTATCGAAAACTATCTTTGTGGTTATGTTTATATTTCTTATATTGTTAATTGATATATGTGCTTGTGTTGTAATTGATATATTTAATTTATGGATTAATGTTATCCAAGTGGGAGAATGTTATATTTATATATTTATTTATATAATTATTATTTTATTATTATTATTATGGATTAATATTAATTAATAAATTATATTTATATGTTAATATTAATTATATTGCACATCATTATTATTATTATTATTAATCTATGGATAATACATATTGGGCTTTTGATGAATGGTCTGTGATGGGTTGGACTATTCAGTAGCCCGTTGAGAGGTCCCTGGTCTCTACTGGTAAGGAAGGATATAGAATTGGTATCTCATTAGTCAGTTTATATGATGAAATACATTTTGTCTTCTACCTTTTCATCTCCTACCAGGAAGAGAGCATCTTCTCTCATGGTGTTCAAGATTGACAAGAATGAATTTTTTATTGATTTCGGGTACGCAATTATTTCTAAACCTTACTCAGACATACTATAATATATTGTATCTTATATTCTTCATTATTTGAGTTATCACTATGAATTTCTTTCATAAAAGTCTCACTGACAATGGTTTATTTGATTTTTGGATGACAGTATATCATTCTCACTTAATATAATAATTTATTATGGAGTCATTACCAATTTAGCCTTTCATCTTAATAAAGGGATACTAGGCATGGCAACGGGGCGGGGCGGGGGCGGGTTTTACGTTCCCTGCCCCTGCCCCCGCAAATTTAAACTGTCCCCGTCCCCGCCCCCGAGACCTGCCGGGGGTAAAATTTGGGTACCCATCCCCGTCCTCGGCGGGGTTCGGGTTCCCCCGCCCCGCTCCTGCCCCTGCTCCTACCTTTTTTATTTCTTTTTTTCTTTAAATAAATATGAACAAATTTAAATAAAATAAAAGAAAAATAAAAGAATACAAATTTTTACATATAAATATTTTTAATTTTGGTTTATATATATAAAAATAATTTTTTAATTATATTATTAAGC